AACATGTTTGCTTTTCATTCAGTGGGTAGAAAATCCAGAAGTTTTACTCAAGCAAGTGTAGAAATACTTCATAGTAAAAATACTCCAAGTACAGCGTAATAAAAATACTCCTAAAAGTTCATGTTGCCAAAAAAAGTTACTCATGTAAATGTAACTGGTTACAACTCAGCTCTGCATACAGGAAACAGCGAACTTGTTAAGTAAGTACAGATTTATTAAACGCGTATCGTAGATGTAAACAGCATCGTTCTGCTGCAGTTTGCCACAACAAATGTGGGAAAAAATCGCAGAAAAAACGTGGAAGAATAACTGAAAATCACTGGTTTTCCTCTTTCTCTCGCTCTCTGCACGCAATCGTTGCCATAGCAACTGACAACAAGTTACTTTTATGCACAAATCTATTTTTGTTTAAATATAAAATGAAGTGATCTGATGATGTCTTTTCCCTTTTTCAGTCACATAATTTAAACAGAATCTCTAAACCGTTTGAACAGAAAAATCGTTTGTGAATCGGATCGTGACTCTAAAAATCAGAATCACTAAAATATTCGTATCTGAGCTGAAAAGTCCTTTGGGATGATTCAGATTTTCCCACGTTGACCTCTGCTCCTCCGCTCTCTTTTTAATCTCCAGTTTGAGGCTGGGCGCCGTGTTTTTTTCGCGCCGGGTTGTGATAGTTTCCCAGCGGCATTGTGAGCAGCCCCATTTGCATTGTTCCCACTGTTTACCCTCGCTTTCCCCTCTCAGCCTTTTCCCGGCTCCCCGCCGCTCGGTTCCGCTCGGATTAAGAAACGGACACAAAAAAGTGAGAAAAAAACAGCCAACCACGTCCAAATATTGACTGGGACTCGGGACGGCGAGGTTTCTCCCAACGCCGGAGCGGCTGAAAGCGGCTATTGTTCGCCGCGGAGTCAGCGGCGCCTCCCTCCTCCTGCCACAGGAGAAATATATTTTAATATTTTAACATAAAACAACAAACTTTAATGTTTGGCCCCTATTTCATGAGTCCAACACAAAGATTCCATTTATTTTAAAAAAGGAAAATCTGAAAAGTGAGGCAGGCATTTGCATTTAGCTCCCTGGAACCCAGAACCGTATTTAAAGGATGTGGAACTGGAACCAGTTTATATTTATATTGATCATCAGTGGTGAACACAACTATCTACAAAGTTAGCAGCGCTAACCCTAAATCACTAATCATAAGCTTTAGCTGCGCTACCAACATGGTATGTAGCAGAAGCTATTGCTAATCTGATATATTAACATGGTATTTAGCTTCTGCTAAAGCTAAAGCGAATCACTAACATGGTATTTACTGGAAGCTAAGGCTAAAGCGCTTTACCAACATGGTGTTTAGCAGAACCTGAGACTGAAATGTTATACCAATGTGTTATTTAGCTAAAGCTAAGGCTAAAGCGCTACACCAACACAGCATTTAGCAGAAGCTAATGTACCAAATCATTATGATATTTAGCAGAAGCTATAGTACTAAATTCAACCACCGTGTGTCAATGACACCATGTGGTGCATCGTGGTATGTCGCCCCCTACAGGGTTAAATTTATCCATTCATCTCAGTTGATTAGCTGAATGGAGCTAAATTAGGTCAATCCTGGATAAAACCAGAATATGGAAAAGAGTTGAGACCCATTTGGAGTTTTGTCTTCTAAACACACAGAAGGAGTTGAATTGAACAGTTCAGATCGATCCATCCTCATGTTGTTGAATGGTCTAGTCCAAGTCAGGACTGAGAATGTGTGGAAAGACTCGTAACAGATGCAAATTGTGGTTCTGAGCTGTAAATGGACGACCCAGTTTTTCTAGATTGGGAGAATTTTCCACTCCTTTGTGTTTGTTGACATGAAACCCAGAGAAAACACAATGCCGTCTGCGGCTGCGATGAGAAAACTGTAGGAAGCTGCTGTGTGTGAGGGGAGGCTGTAACCCGAGGCGCCCGGGCCCAGGAGTCTGAAGGTGGGGTCACACTCCGCGTTTCCACCCGCAGGAAGCGTCAATCTCCAGAGGCATCAAAGGGAGCGCAGTGAATGTGATTTCCTGCCGCTGAGCGCTTCACAAACCGCCAATAAACAGAGGCAGAGCGCCGTCTTATCTCCCGTTTCATTACAGAAGCCCGCAGCATTATGCCTCCTTCGCCACACTTCATGTTGTCAGGTTGCCGATCAGTTTTACCCGACATAATCCACTCAGAGACTCGACTTTCTGGTCAGGTAAGCTGTGAATTTCACACTCGGCTTTCAGCAGCGGAGGGGAGGCGTCGTCATGAGGCGACACCCGACACCCCCCGTCCCCGCAGAGGTTAGCCGCCTGCGACCTCCCCGCCCCCCGACCTCCACACACCCTTCATGCTCTGACTAATAAGGCAAAAGGCCCGAGGCTGCCAGCGAGTGATTGACAGAAACGACTGACTGCTAATAAGAACGGCAGCTTTTATTGCTGCAGTTTGCGGCGCGGCAGCGGCTCTGTGGACACGTTAACAACCAAAACGACTTCTTACTGTTTAATTTTACTGGGTTTATAACTGGCTTTACACAAAAAAACATGCTGTATTTGCCAAAAATGAAATAAAAAGAATCATTACTCACAGAAATGACAAATTAAGTCAGTTTATTTCCCAGTGACTGTGTGACAAAAGACAAAACAACCTAATAAAGCATTTTAAAAGTGGTTTAATATGACTTTAAGGGGGAACACTTTGGTCTAAATTTGGTCTTAAATTGGATTTTTATTAAACGTAAAACACAGAAGAATGTTGCAAATAATTAGATATCTAAAAAATGACTTGGAGGTTATTTATTTATATAAAACAACATTCATTCTTCTTAATGAAAACATATTGTCATTTTTTAGTTCAAAGTATTTCAGCAAATAAATGTAATTACCTACCAAATGTTAGCGTTGAATAGCAAAACTCAGCACACTGGCTTGTGAGTGCTAACGCTGCTAACATTAAGGAAAAGATTATAAAATACTAAAGTTAATAACTTTAATATGTAGTTTATTTTTATATTTGTGGTAAATAAACATTAGTTAGCCTGTAACATTTCGAACTGATAACAGTATTTACAGCCGAATGCTAATGCTGCTAACGAAGCTAATATTAAAATCAACAGCCATTCTGTCAGGCTTTCTACAAGAGCCTGACAGTTTCCTGCAGTTTCCCACTGCAGGAAACTAACGAGTTCAATTAGCTACCTAGTAAACTCTCCATGCTAACCAACAAAAGGTGAAAATATCAGTTCTGAAATTTACAGAGGCCAGTTTTAATATAACAACCATCCAGAATAAAAAGCACATTCCTCGTAATAAGAGGTAATTTGTGGGTTATAACTGAATTTATTGGATTTAAAGTTATCAGAGACTTGGAGTCTCTTCGCTGGTATTTTTAATTTGTTTTTATAATGAATTATGAATTATAATATTAAATCTCGGATTTCATTTAGCCGCATATTATCCTCTGAAGACTTTATATTTCCCCGGTTCCATTTGCTGTGGTTTGGATCCATTTGGACTCATGATATCTGAGACATTATGATGCCTGATCAAGCTAAATCAACCCTTAAGTGAACTCCCACTGATAGATGTTGCTTATTAAGGCAATAAATCAATGGTTTCCTACTCTAGACTATAAGAAATGCATATAAAATAACTTCAAATCTTTGATGTTGAATTCACAGTTGGTCAGTAGAAAAGCCTCCAAATTTGGTCAAACTTCTAAAACCGCTGCTTACAAGAATGTTTGTTGAACTAATTTATCAAAGTTTCCAAGGACGCGTTTGAGTTCAGTTTCTGGAATCTCCAAAGAAGATGCCGCAGAGAGCTGGGAGTGTGAACTGAGGAAACAATGCCTCGATGCGACCCATTGTGTCCAGATGTGAAACAGTTTGGCTTCTTCAGGTCTAATCTCTGCCAGTCTCACCCCGCTGCACACAGCTTCACTTTTTCCTGCCGTTTTAATCTTAGTGGGGGCTTCTTTGTGTGTGTGTGTGTGTGTGTGTGTGTGTGTACTCTGCTAAATGCGAGTGGTGAAATGGCATCCCCTGTGTCTTTGTAGGCACCGGTGAGGGTATTAGCAAAGAGGCTCTAAGGGGCTTAAGAGGTCAGTCTTCCCTTTGTGTGGAGACACAAAACACTTCCTGTGGGACCCTTCACCCCTCTCTGTTCCTCACTCAGAAAGCCAAGCCCTGCCTGACCATTCACATTAATCAGCCTTAGCGCCTAATGACTGCAGGAAAGCCTCTGAAAAGTGCTTCCAAAAAGGTCCTAAAGAGCCACTAAGCTGCTAACAGACTGGCCACAGCTGATGCTGTTTGCAGGGCATCACTAAGCATCAAAGATAGGCGGCTGGGGGCTCATCCATCCCAACAGCTCCTCTTTAATCCCCACTAAATCTAATCTAAAACTTGAGCTGAGACTCTTTCAATCTCCTTGATGCATGAAGGTGTCGTTACAGGTAACCGAGCCACAAGGAGACTTTCAGTGCATCAAGAAGGTTTCGTTATAGATCATTTACCAATAAGGACGACTTCAATACACCAAGAAGTTTTCTGCATAGGTCACTGCTCTCCTTGAAGTTGCACTTTTACTCAACTGAGCTATAAGATCTGCAGAAAGAAGTGAGTTTTTTGGTAAGTGACCCAAAATAACAGCTTCTGTATAATGAAAGTTCCCTCTTAAGTCAATAAGGTCCCATTTGATGCATCAAGAAGGTGATCTAATACCTACAAAGACCCTTCAATACATGAAGACGTTGTCTTTTATAGGTCACTGCTCTATGATGATGCATCACCAAGATGCACTTTTACGCAACTGGGCTATAAGGATGTGCATCCAAAAAGTGTTTTGTTTGGTATTTTACCCAGAATGGCTCCTTCCATACATAAAGAAAGTTCCCCTTTAAAACATTGACCAATAAGGAGCCGTTCATTGCATCAGGTGGTTATATTTATAGGTCGCTACCCTATGATGACGCCTACAGAGCTGCACAAGGATAGAAAGTGTTTTTTTGGTATATTACCCTAAATATACCAAAAAAGAGTTAATTTTTATGTCATTTACCAATTAGGACCCATTCAATGCATCAGGTGGTTATATTTATGGGTCACTGCTCTATAGTGACATCTTAAATACATCACAAAGATGCACTTTTATGCAA